CTGCCGCGGCTCCCGGAGTCGGAGGCCTTCGTCGACCAGACCCTCCACCGTCCCACGCCCGCGCGCCACCAGGTCTCCTGCGCAGCCGCATCGCTCCCCCTTCCTCCCCGCTGTTGCCACTGAATTGGTTCGTGGATCCGGTGTTTTTTTTTTTTGGTTCGTTCAGTTCAGTTCGTCAGCGCCACTTAATTGGTTCAGTGGATAACTCTAGCGGCGTTTCCGATGAATTGGCTGGGTCTGGGTGATGATGATTCACGTGTCGTGGAATTAGCAGTTCGAATTCACCAGCCGATTGATTGATTGATTATATGCTTGGAAACTCGGAATAATCGTTCGTGCAACCTATCTAGTCTAGTATATATATGCTGCAGAATAGTACACAGTACCAACCTATCCGAGAGATTGCCTGCTTGCCCAATCTTCATTTTGCGAGCAAACGAACAGTCTACCGTTCTTGCTATGGATGTGGTGGCATTGTGTCTTAGGTAGTTTATCTGCATTCTGCCGGACTTGACACAATATATTAGAGAAGCGGTCCACTGTATGCAACTTCTGTTCGTCGTGAATAACTTCTGCGTTATCCATAAAAGCATGATGGATGACTTCAGGTTGTGGTATTTTTGTCTGTTGCACTGTACTGAAGCATGAGGTCTGGGTCCATGGTAGTTTATCTGTATTTGTGCCTCGCTTCTGCTGGACTGACCTCCTTATTATAGATGCAGCTTCTGCTCGTTGTCTTGCTGCTAAATGTTTCACTAACAGCACCTGTCTTCCTACTCACAGCTTACTAACTACTCCCTCCGTCCGGAAATACTTGTCGCGAAAATGGGTAAAAATGGATGCATCTAAAACTAAAACACGACTAGATACATCCATTCCTCCGACAAGTATTTCCGGACGGAGGGAGTACGAAATATGTGTACCCCAATTTTGACCTCCATTTTTCATCTCACCGGTGGCCAGGGATTTGGCTTGCATGACGACTCGTCGGAGAGGATGCCTCCATTTCCTCCCAGTTCAGCATGTGGTGCACAAGAAGAACCCCAGCAGCAGCAACCGGTGATCATACCCAGCAGCACTACCCTGCGCTGGAACCCCTCTCCTACAGACACTAGATGTAAGCTCTGAATCCCCAAGCTATGCATCCGATTGATTTAACGTCTCACACCAACTTCAGCAACAATTTTCCTGTTCACCTCTGTTTTATCTCATTGTCTGGGCATGTAAACTCGACTGGTGTGTGCTTTTATGGTAAGAAAGAGCACCGGAAGCCGTTCTGTGTCTAGACCTCACCATCATTATTCCGTGGGTATGTTTTGTTTGGTGTGCCTGATGATGGTAGCATTTCAACAGGTCGGGTTAATGAGGACGCTGAGTGCAGGTTTCAGCAGCTGTCAGGTTCAGTACACAAGGTGGGGATGGTATTGGACTCGGTACAAACTGATGTTATTCAGTTAAACAGAACCATGAAGGACGCATCGGTTGAATGTAAGCCTTGCAAACCGGCACTGTTGATCATAATAGGAATTGCAGCAGCTTCTGCTTTGCTCATAAACTTGCACTTTCATTTTTCTTCTTCTTCGACAACTGATGCATCATATAACTGAATCGTATTTATCTGTTATGTGCAGCTGGTGGTGTGCAGCAAAAGTTTGATCTCCTAGAGGATACACTTCAGAAAATTGTAAGAGAAGTTGATGTCTCAGTTCTTTCTCCTACCATTTCATTGTTTGCAAAGGCAACAAAGTTTGATATATTCAAACATGTTATCGCAGATTAAAGGACAAAATGATCTCAAAGTACTTGCTGAAAACAGCATGAAAAGCAACTCTGATCAGCTGAATGTTCTCAACTCTCGCACCAGCAAATTGAATGAGATGTCTTTGGTCGTTTCAGTCTGTCCAAAACAAGTGCAAGCAGATTTAAGAGAGCTGCATGGTGACATCTTCAGGGTTCTTACAAAGGACATGGAGGTACTTCTTCTGCTGCTAATCTACCGCTAGCTTTGTTACATCTTTTTTTGGTACATTTTGTCTTTTAGGAATTGTCCTGATGGTTGGCATGTGCACATAAGTAATTAATGTACCAGTATCCCAAGTTCTCTGTTGTCTCCATATGTATGGGTTCAGTTCCATATAAAACGTATAAGTTTTCAGAAATCTCTTCATGTATCTAGATTCTTCAAATAACACCTTGTATAATAATCCTGTCACATAACATTCAGCATTCTCAGTAGGTGCTAGCGTTTACTTTGTCTTTGAGATGGCTCAAAAAGCTCAGAGTCCTGTCTATCAAGTGGCATTCCCTTTTCGTGCTGAAGAAACAAATGTTGATAGTTTTGCACTACAACTGCCTGATCTTTTGTCTCTTCATGCAGGGGGTTGTTAGAGATATCAGGTCTCTGAATACTAGGCCTGCTGCAATGTCAATGCTGCCAGTATGTTTACTCATTACTCGACTAACCGAATCCATAAGTCTTTTGTTATCCTTGCCTCACTGTCTTTTCTGTCGTGGCTGAAGGACCAGAACTTCTCCCCCAATGAGAGACTACCGAGAAACCCAATGCTAGCAAAAGGAAGTCCCTTGATGAATGGAGTGTCTGTAGCAAATAGAAGACCTACAATGAACCAGACACCAGCAGCAAATGAACGACCCCTGATGAACCAATCACCAGTCGCAAATGGAAGGTCTACAATGAACCAGACACCAGTAGCAAATGGACGATCCCTGATGAACCAAACACCAGTGAAAAATGGAAGCCCCATGACGATTCCAGTAGGAGATGGAAGGTCCCAGCTGAAACAAACACCGGTAACAGATGGAACGCCCCCGAGGGATCTAACACCAGAGATAAATGGAAGGCCCCAGAAGGACCGAATACCAGTAGCAAATGGAAGGCCCCATATGGAACAAATACCGGCAACAAAACCGTAATATTCTAAGTCTCTATTTCTTACATAGTTCAGTTGATAGCTAAATATACAGAGATGTTATACAAAGATTCCTAGAAGTATCCTGCTCTGATAGGGATACAAAGCTATGTGGTGTGGCCATGGATTTCGAGTCGCTTAGTGTCGACTCATGACTCGAGTCGTGACTAGTCGCAACTGCAGGCTCGACTTTTTCCGAGTCGCTACCCCAGAATGACTCATCGACTCGAAAACCATGGGTGTGGCCACAGATAAAACTCCTTTTTTCATGAGAGTTTTCTCGCTGTTATTTCAATTCTACTCACAAGATTTTATTTACCTGAATCTCACGATGCCAGATTTAACCTAGGTGTTTTTGCACATAGAAGGGGCATCAAACCACGACATGTATGCCCTATAATTTAGAGAATTGAAGTCACAGTTTTCATGAAAAGGTGTTAAAAAAAGGTTTCTTGATGTGCTGACTAAGACTAAATTTTGAAATCCTTGAACACAAGTATGAAGATTGTTAAACTTTTTCAAAATGTTCAAATAACCATTCATATCTGCATAATCCTGTGGTAAGATGCTTATTTTCATGATAGAGCAGAGCTGGTTTAATGCTGGCAATCCAAATCATGAAATGACACATATTGTATTGCTTCAATACTTTTTCTTTCTCTCTTCACTCTTCAGCAAGATTATTATATTCACGACTTTTCAGTTGTACTACAAATATGACTCTGCATATACGTTATGTCTTCACTGTTTTCTTAGATTTTTGGATTCTGACAAAGCTTGCTTATTAATGTCAGCCTTCCTGCACGTTCCACTTATGCTACGAGGGCGTCAGTTCTGAAGCCAAAGGTAGAAGAGGGTATGGTAAAAGCAGCTCACATGGTTGGTACAAGCTACAGGCTAGCACCTGCACAGAAAGAGAAGTTGAATCAAAAGGTCAATCCCCAAGAGACAACTAAGAAGGTAATCTGTGATACCTTGCCCCTTTCCATCATAATGAAATTGGTATAGGATTCCTCGAGCAAACTAATGTTGTTGGCTAGTTCGTATACGATTTTCATGCTTTCGTGCAATACTGCTTACAGTTCAGGGCCAATGTCCTTCTTGAAAAAGCATACCACTGAGTTCTGGTTCTGAAAAAAAAACACCACTGAAAAAAGCATACCATTGAGTTACGGTTCTGAAAAAAGCATACCTATGAATTATTGAATTTACTGGAACATGATTGAAGCTGCAGCTGTAACTTTTCGTATGTGCATCTGCAGTAGACTGAAAACTTGCGCTTGCATTATATTCAGTGTGTGATCGTGGCTCTGTACTTGTGTTTGAAAATGCAGGAACCAGTTAAAATAATCATCGATGATTCTGAACATGGAACCAGGTAGAGCTCATTCCTTTTTGTGCATGCTTTTCTTATATCGTTTCTAGTTTCCTGCCTCAAAGAGAGGGAACGCCTCGGCTCGCTCGCGACTCCCGCTAGGGTTCCCACCCGCCGCCGCCGCTGGCCGTCGGGCGCCCCTCCCCCGCCTCGCTCCCCCCCTTCCCTCCCTCCCCCC